AGCACAACCTATGAACCACAGAAAACTACGTCATATCCTCAACCTACTGATAATCCACTAATCCGATCTTTATTACGACATCAAAATAAACCAATTTCGAAGACCTAAATAAAACTGCTTGTTCAAACGTATTTCAAAAAGGAAAAGATAGGGCACAATTGCAAACTGGGCATTTAGAAAAATGTGGTTTATACCAACAAAAAATAGCTGCGGTAGCAGAGCATTTAAAAGGTGCGGAGGATGAGATAACAAAAAGAAAATTATTGGTTACCATATTTTCATTGAGTAATAAAAGTTACTAAATTCTCAACACAAGCTTCGATTTAAAAGATATAGCATTGTAGCAACTTGGGGAGTGATGAGAAAAGGTGTTCTTGTCAAAAAATATGCTTTTCTAAGAGATTGTTAATCCTAAAATGAAAAATTTCAATAGAAAAAAACGAATATTAAGATGAGACAAATAAATTGTTTATCGCAAAGCCAAATAATAATATCAGAAACGCGCAGAATGAGTTTGGAAATAATGCATGATTTTGAAACTGCACGATTTTGGAAACACTGTTGAAAATGTACAGTAGACAGGCATCACTTTTACTGAAGTTTACTCTTATTGAAATTTGCTACTGATATTTCCCATAAAAAAATCACAGAGCCAGGTGCCGTAAAATGGCCGTCCCCTAAGAGTTACGAAAATCCAATTAAAATGAGGCTTACCCCGATGCACTTGGTGTACCAAGAGCATTTCGATCTTTGGAAAGAGGGGCTGGCTGTCTTTTTCGTCTAAGTGCTATTGGTACGTGTGAATTTACAATATCATAATGGTGAGCAGATAAAATCTACCATGTAAGGCCACCCTTGGCTTGTTTACGTAAACAAGGAGCTATTAGAAAGAGGAATTACAATATCTGAAAGTGGTTCATAATGTCATCCATGCTTTATCTTTTCCTGATGAAAGGAAGGATGACTGTAACGAGAAATCGTAACAAAGGTAGTCGTGATTACACTTATGTTTCCTCTCATCTCTAGCTTATCTCAGAAGATAACACAGTGCCACGGCTATGTTGACCAACAAACCAATAAAAACAAAGCACTGCTGACTTAGTGCCTTGTGAAAAAGTTCCTTCTTAACCTCCTTGCCCGAATGACTGTTTACTAATATGCATAGAAGGACTCTTCAAACAATCCAATTCAATCAAAAACAGCCACCATCAAAGAAAACAAGGATAAAATTTATTCAATCAAAGGAGCTTTTGTATAAGATCGATTTTCCTTTATCAAATGTGAAAACAAACAAAGAAAAATTAAATATCTTAGCAAATGTATCAAAAAAATATATTTATTATCTTTTGTCAATTCTAAACATTTTAACCAAAGAACTTCCTAAAGAAAACGTATTTTTTAGAAACTGTTTTCTTTCTAATTGACAGTAATAGAATATCGGTTGCCAAGTCATTCAGAGTACTTACGTTTTAATCTTAATAATCTGTTTCTGTTTTCAAACCTAGCTGGTTTTCACTTTACGTACTGTTGCTGCGAGATGTGAGGGACTGTCTAAGGAATTTTCCCCCTTCACAACAGGGGAGCACTAACCAGATGGGAAAATAAAAATCTTCCATCGAAATTTCTGCACCTTCCAATTAATGCTCTAAATATTGCATCAAATTTAAGAAATTGCACCCTTCAAATATATGTAAAATCCAAAGCATTAGTGGAGTTTCCACAATATATATCGTATATATCAACATATTTTCCTTGCATAATAGTGTTTTATTTTATCCATACCATCATCATAAGTATCCTTTATTTAAACAAATTATACTACATTTTTCTTCGGTTTTTCGCCTTACTTAAACCCATATAAGTTGCTTTTTTCATATGAAAAGCCTTTTTATCGAGATTTCTACCAAACAAGTATCTGTAAACAAAACTAAAAGTGCTACTCGATACTCAAAGTGTCACTTCGTAGCGATATTAATCGAAAACATCAGTGATTGCGAAGAGCTCATCAAAGGGCTTGGTCAAAAACTTGATCTTCTCAAGTTAGAAGTAAGAACCCTAATAGATCACATATGACATGTGATTAATAACTGTTTGTTGTCTTAATGAATTTGCCCGCCTTTTTCTTAGTTGCTATGACTAAGAATCCGGGATTCTCGGCAATATTCAGCAGGTGTATAATAATATTTGTCGGAAATACATGGGGAACTCGCTTGCTCTACCAGGAGCACATTACTTTGAGAAGAAAACAACTGAAGGAAAACAAGCTGGAAGAAGATATCTACGGGAGGATGGGGAGAGAAAACATTCATGATCAGCGATGCCAAAGCAAAGTGAGGCCTTCCCGACTGAGGCGCCGTTAGACGCAAACTCGCGTGCTGAACAACTCTATTGTCTAAGAATTCTGATTGCGCTGTAAATAGCGCGCTCGATTTACATCGTGAATCAATGAATGACATCATAAAATTAGAAATTAGGTACTCGGGGACCCTACAATCAATTCAAAATTTTTAGAAACCATATAACCAAACCTATAACAAAAGGGTCTTTCAAAGAATGAGCTACCAGGTTTGCTAAAAACGGGTGCACAAAGTTTTCCAGAACTACAGAAGATTCAAAGTTCTATAGCTGGGAAATGTAGGGAAGGAAGATTAAAACTAAGAATTTTGAGAGTCAAGCCCATACCAAGTTTTCTTCTTTCTTCACTAGCAGGATCTTCAAAACCATTGCATCTTGACAATAAGTGGTTATATAGTGGTATATGTGATGTATTCTTTTCAAATCAATTTACACATTACAGAAAACATCCAGGAAAAGTTGTTAATAAGGACAAAGGCCCAAATGCTTCATTTTATTGAATTGAGAATGCTTTCAAAAAATATTCCTTCAAGCATACAAGTATATTTACCGTCCGGTCGGACGGTACGGACACAAACATCAATTCTGGTGATACTAAAAAATACTGAATTAAAGTAAAACAGAAGGTTGTTGACATTTCTACGTGAATACCGTTACAGTCATACGGACACCTGATAGCATCTCACAACAAGAATCAAACAGAACTCTTATCCCTCAATAAAACAGTTAAGCCACTGTATGCATTTTGGCATTAAGAATAGCTGACAAAGGAGGGTACAATCGCTAAAAGAAATATAAAATGTTTTGGCGCATTTACCAAACAGTTACTGATATCCTCATCCTGAAGACATATACATTGATATTTCCTTTTGAAAATAAACACTACAGAAGTAAGGAATGCCTCAAAATAATATTTTTTAAAACGCTCAGGAAGTACATTGAAGCTAGCAGCGGGGAAAACAAGACCTTTCCTGATTTCAAACCAACCCAGATCGTTTGTCCTGCCAAGGCTATCGGTTCCCAAAAGAGAAGCACAATATTGAAAGATCAAAAGATTTTAACTGGGAGGATGTAGCATGTAAAGCCACGAAAACGAGGCTGTGCTGTTAAAATTATTTTATTTTGTCAAGGTCGATTGCTAGTTCAGGGAAATTACTGTAAAAGCTTTTGGATTCCGGTTAAACAGTCCGTCCAGCTAACAGTTCTGCTAAACAGCTAAAAAGGACACAATTCTTTTTTCAGGTATTTTGCATATCTATTTCGCAGGGCAGCAATGTTTCACTTTTTACATCTTCCCCTCCTACACTTACCATCACTGTACCAAGCCAGCACGCGTTTAGATGATTTCCAATGTGAAGCCCAAAGACGTTTGTTCGAATAAAAAACATCGGCATTCTAAATGTTAGAAATGCGCGCAATTTTCAATAGAGCCAAGCTGCTTCTAGCAATAGGCTTCTCATTTTTAAAAGAAAAATGGTATATTGGAAGGATTAGAAAGCCAGCACAAAGTTGAGAACTTGAAGGGAAGAGCAAGTTTTCTTCGCAGCAAAAATAGTGTTACTATTTTACTTGCTTAAACATCTCTAAAAATCACATTGTTCCCTAAGCTTGGGTCTGATAGGCATATGGTAAATTCCTTATGGTCTCTTAATTCTACAGTTTCTCGAAGTGAAAACTCTACAAAGAAAGGATCTAATTATGGTGGTGTTCTCTGTGCTTTTCTCAGTAGACTAATTAAGCATCAGGTTTAAGATCTTTTTCTGGATAAGTTGAATTTTAGTTTGTTAGTTTGAATTAATTTAAACCACAATCATTTCTTTTAGAAACAAAATTTAAATAACGTCCAATGACATGCTTGTGTATTATGAGCTGGTTTCATTGAAAATGGCTTTGATAAAAGATGGCATTAAACAACCTATACCCTGCTTACAAAATAATTTTCAAAGCTAACGACAAATCTTATATGCAATGTGCTTTGAGTCTATTATTGCAGCCTGGCCAAGAGGAATTAGGTGGGTACGTCAGCCTTTCAGAGAAAGTGGGCAGAATTTACAAATCAGTAACCAAGTAAAAATTATCATGGATACGACTTATCTAAACAATTTTAGCAAACGATCTCAAAAATTCTTCTTCGGGCAATTTTCTTTGCTTTTCATTGAAGTATTTTCTGTATCCAGCAGAATCAAAATTGAAAGGCAACAAATTGGGCTTTATATACCTCATGAATAACTGTTAAACCTTTAAACATTTCACTTTTTGACAATCTCCATGGCAGGGCAAAATCCAAAAATGGGTAAAAACAAAAAAGCGCCTACACTATTATTTCATCTAAAAAGATTTATTTTTCTTTCAAACATGATATCTTTCATACTAAGTCACTTCTCCGACAAAACATTCACCTTATTTTAAAAAGTTATTAATTACATTTAAAATGATTCAGTATAGAAAGGTGAATCACATTCAAAACGTTATAAAAAAATTATAAATGATCAAGTAGCACTAATTATGGCTGAAGTAATCTATCAGTGGAATTAGTTGGAAATACAACACAAAAATAACACAACAAACACAACCCAACGTACTGATATAAACACCACCGACAGGAAGGGGTTTTATCAATCTTACGTATATTCTTCGTTTTTTCACGAATGATTTCTTAGGAAAATTGATTGCATGTTTCTTACTATGCATTCATTCAATTATGCATGTTCAAATTTAACTAAAATCCTTTTACGTTTAATGTAAAGTTTTCTGTATTGGCACTGAGGAGGAGAAAAATCTCCCGCGAAGAAGTTACGAACAATCCTTGAAGAACTGGTGCAAAACCCCTGACTTTTGAAAGAAGAATTGATCTGCTTGTATTGCGTATTGTTAAGTTAATGAGAAACTGTGCACGCAATGATTCCTATTCATGAAATGGCCAAATCACACATGGTTTAATATCTAGCGAATTCCCTGTCAACTCTTCAAGGTTTGATTAATTAAATTTTCTAATTTGGCAAAACGATATGTCATTACGACCTCAGATCCAAAACGTGACATCAGAGTTTCGGATCGTAGCAAACTGACTTCGAACTACGAGATCTGACACTGAGCTATGGTGTGTGAACAACCAGCGAGTACAGTTCACAACAACGAAGAACACTGGAAACAATGCGAACCAAAAGAATGACCCTTTTCCTGCCGGGATAAAAAAAATTGTGAGAGGTTTTGAAGCATAGCTTAACGGGAAGGAAGCTCAGGGCTCAAGCTATTTTGGCATCCAATAGCAACTGACGAAAACCGCAATAAACCATTATTCTTACGGAAAATAAAATGGTCAAATTTATTGTTGGACTTTAGAAATTCGCTTACTTTGCGCTAAACTACAGGCGGAGCTTCTTTATTACGTTCGAATACAAAGCTAGCTAGCGGGATTCCATCAATGATACGCCAAACGCAATACACAAGTTGGGAAAACAATTTGCTTCGGTTTGATTGGTAAACTAGAGCGGACCCCCTACAGATCGTGTGTTATTATTGCGCGTGAGAAGTCTATATACATCAATATACACCGCGAAATACAAGAGAACAGCTGTATCGCTCTACGCAAAACATTATACTGCCATCGAGTTATGTCCGAAGTTTATCTTACACAAGAGTCTGGGTCAACTAGTGGATATACATCTTTGAGAATTGAAATCACCGTATCTCGGCATTTGGCATAGTTTATTGAAAGTGAGAAGCAATTATCTTATCAGGCGAATAAATAACGGACGCAATGATAAACCCAATGTATAGTAAGAGAGAGGACTCTCTAGGTCATAAATATATGACAAGCTACGTACGACAGACTCCTTCGAAGAACAACTCATCGAAATTTTTGCCGTTGTCGATAGAGAATATTCTTGGCAGAGTTGAGAGTAACGAAAGAGACGAGGACAGCGGCAGCGAGGTCGAGATCAATAAGAACGATGAAAAAATCGACCAGACAGAAGATGATATCGAGGTGGATATCGAAGGAGAAGAGGCGAATAAAATTGAGAGTGAAAAAGCCAAGCAGGACACTCAAGGGGAGCCGAGTACAGACAAACAATCACCGTCATACACAGCTATCATAGCCCAGGCGATCCTAAGCTCGCCCGATAAAAAACTTCCACTTGGCAGCATATATGAGTACATCGCTGAACATTTTCCAGAATTTCTAAAGAAGGGTCAAGGATGGAGAAATTGTGTTCGGCATAACCTGTCGCTGAGTGAGTGCTTCGTCAAAGCTGGGCGTGCGAGAAATGGACGAGGCAATTACTGGGGCATACATCCACGATACCTAAAGAACTTCAGTAAAGGGGACTTTAGGAAACGAAGGGCAAGTCATAGGCCGCGAAACAGAGACTTGGGTATCGGTTTGGGAGCAGACAGACTGCATTATTCGCATTTTTTGAACCCCTTCATTTACCCTACCACTCACCGTGTACCTACTGACGAACGGTCTTTCAGTGTGGAAAGCCTGCTATCCCCTGAAAGAAGAGAGCATTATGATCGGCATTCGGCATTCAATAGCTACAAATCAAGAACAGTCAAATCGGAGGCTCACCGAATACCAGGAATTTATTGTCCCTTGGGAACAAGTTGGTTGGAGCATAAACCCTATAGCGAGAACACTTATCATCCATATTCGGTACGGGAGCCACAACAGCCCGTCTGCTCCTGTCATCTTTATTGCTGTACAAGGGCATAGGGTATTGTGACTTAATAAATGAAAGAAATATCTTTCATATCTTAACTTGTTCCCGAAGGGAAATTTCCAAGAGAGTTTCATCTGAAAATCATATTGAGCGAAGACTCTGGAGAACTTTAGTAATATATATTCAGGTTGGTCTGATGAGACACAACATGAAACATGATGTCCTCGACAGACCATACAGGTGACAAATCTACACTTCAATTTAATTTAGTTGTTTTAAATCCTGTATTTAAGATGTTTATGTACTTAAAAATGAATTTATGTAGTTGGTGTTGGTGAATTGTGAATTTTTAACAACAAACATTAAATTTGTCATTATTTCCATTAATCGTTCTTTAATCTGAAGAGGAGTCATAAATCGCCTTTTAAGAACTTTATTAAGATGATATTGTTTTCAAAAGATATTTGAAATATTTGCGCAATAGAAGAAAATTGGCAATTACTCAGCAGTCAGGCATCAGTCATAATTACATTAACAGCATTCACAATTTCAAAATATTTTCATTGACTGGTGATATTGTTTGCGTTGAGATATTAAAATATATATTCATGCATTGCCACAGCGTTTAAATATCAAAACGTAAATTCATCCAATCAATAAAAAGCGAAGCATCTGGGTTTAATTAATTTTTCAATTAAGATAGGGAATTTTGAATACTTATTCAGGTTAAAGGCAAAATAATTAGCTGTCGGCTTTAACTGCCAGAAAGTCCGCTTCGTTAAAGAAAATTTGGTTAATTTGTACAAAAATTGGGAAACGAGTTTCTAAAGACGTGTTATGACAATACGTTTGTCTAAAACAAACTGCAGCTTGACTGAAGTGCTGGCTTAGAAAGTGTCGAAGTTGCTATTATGTGACCAATTGAACAAGTTTGGCGTAAAGTTTTGCCGCATCGCATCAAACATGTCGGGCATCTGGTCCAGTAGATACGGTAGCCCAAAGATTCTCAAACATTGACAGTTGAAGCATACTTTAAGCAGAAACCCCGCCTTTTACTTTTCAAAATTTGCAACAAATCCATTTTCAAATCATTCGCGTTTTGGCAAGAGAAAGGCAAGTATTTTGTCTAGGGGTCTAATCCGTCAACCTTTAAACTGAAAAGAAATTGTAACTGGCGTCAAAGAAATGTTTATACGGATCCAAAGTCGGATCGGTTTGTGCCTGTACAAACACTATAACACACGTTGTACGGATGTACAAATATCGTTATCTATTGAGAGGGTGACATGTTACTCGCACAATTCTGAACAAATATATACGAAACCAAAGAGAAGGTATTAGCGCGTCTGGAATCAAAACGATAAATGGATCCGGACGGAAAAACATTACTGCGGGCTTAAACATCAGGCTACCGCTTATTTCGGAAGAATTATATTTCAAATTGGGCTATATTTCAATATCAGTTGCAAAGAATGTCTTTTCAATAGGCGACAGTATCGGAAAACTTCTAAGATTAATTGTTTAGAATTCTTGTTCTCGGGCTTCCAAATACATATCAGGTCTACTAAATTAGCTAAGTTTTAGTATCAAGAGTAAGGAATCGCCTTTCAATGTATCGGAAAAACTAACGATTTAAGGGGAACTCGTTTCTCGCCAACATAATACATCAAAAGTTTACCTCCTAAACATCAAGTAAAAAGAAACAGCTCGAAACAAAGTGTTTTTTGTTAGGGCGATGTCGATAATTCACTCAAGTATCGGCATCTGCAGGCATTTCAAATTTCTTAGATACTTCAGTCAGTGTATATCAAAACGCACACCTTTGTTGCAATATACCGTCCGCTTCGTACGGTGGTAAAGATTGACCAGTAGCTCAGGCAGTAAGGCTTCTACGCATTTTATTTCTATTTTGTTTTCATTATTGCTATCTAAACTCAAGGGTATAAAATGTCCTTCAGCACCAACAAAGACGAACCTCAAGTTGGCTTTTCATAACTTAAATCAAGCAAAAAGGTGCAATGGTGAAGATTTGTAGAATGCATAGTAACACAAAAAATAATCGTTGAATTTTGAATCTTTTCCGAATTTTATTGTCTACTTCATAGTTTATTTATTCTTTAAATATTGTTATCGTTATCAAACTTCCATTTTAAATACTTTTTGAATTTAGTTTCAACGCAATAGTAAATTAAAACTATTTTAAATGCAATCGAAATTTAAAATATGCAACATTAACACGAAAGATTGACAACAAGCAGCTATGAAATTATCTAGTCTTTAAACAAAGTTAGCCTGTTAATGGAACGAGTCCCTGAACACGATTCAATATTGCGCTGGCGATTTTAAATACCGTAAAATGAACATTCTTGCCACATTATACTAAAAGGAAAACACAGTTTTAATCAAAACATGGTCCTAACTGGGTTTAACTGCAGTTTTACACGCCGCAACGAGCAACTAAACCATTTACAGCTCAAAAAGTTGTGGAGATTCAATAAAGATCTATGTTTATATGTTTAATGTGGTATCAAAAATAGTTTCGCATAGAAAAGCGACAACTAATTCTCTCCAATGTAATCAGTGTCTTTCATAAAGCCGTAAACTGTAGGCTTGAGTCTGTTTGTGAGAGATGTGACTCAAGAAACAAGCTTGGGAAAAAACCTTTATAAAAGAGCTCAGATGTCATTAACGGTAAGATTTTGTTTGGAGCCATAGTAATGGATTTCGCGAGATGAGACTGGATTTCAAGGACGAATAATCGAGACATCAAACACAATTTGTTGTTGTTCATTGCAATATAGCAAAATAACATTGCTGATGTGTGTCTCGTTTGGAACACTCGCAACGAGGATTCGTGTATTGAGCCTAAAGATTTGCAGTAAAAAAACGTTTCGTAGATTCTAAACCTGCATTTCGGCATTTATTCTTTAAAACGCTCCATCCTAACTTTTGTACCATTGATTCTTATCATACTTCAAGACTTTTTATTCTCCGATTCATTTTGGCTTTTCCGCCACTTACATAGTGCAATGGAACAGGACTTCGCCTAAATGTCTCCGCCTAAAAATATAGTTGTCAGTGCTGAAAACGCTGTGGGCCGTAAAACAAAATTATAAGGGAAATTTAACGTGTCTAGATATATGCAGAACTATATAAATAAATGATTAAAAGTAGAATATGTTTGATGTTCATGATGAAAGAACCTTTTAATATCCCATCAACGAGGATACTTCAAGCATGATGGAGAAGGTGACTGAAAATCCTTGCATATTTGTGAAGATTACCTTGCATCAAATATTTTTGGTCTAGTTTTAAAAATGTACAGATCTGTCTTGACGAATGATCTTTTCATCAAATTGTCCATAAGGATGAAAATTTTGTGTACGATTGTAAAGTATCTTCCAAAGCTAACTTATTTCTCCTCTTGTTTAATCAACACTACCCTTGACTGATGCTAATGCATAATTTAAAATAACAGAGCTTCCTTTATGTTTGAGCTCTGTTATACAACTTCACCCATGATTTTTTAAAGTTTTTCACAACTGGTCACTTTAGTCAGTTAAAATACGAGATTTGTCTGGTCTGTTTTAATCATACCTACTCTGCCAAAGTTGCTCTTCTACGTTGACATTTGCTTGCAGGATGTTTCATATTCTTTTTTACTCGGACAATGTGAAAGCAACTGAATTGCACTCAGGGGTAAATCGCGTTACAAAATAAAAATGAAATGAAAATACAGTTTGAGTGAAAACAAAATCAGACCGTTGGCTTTCGTTGCATTTAATGATTGGTTTAAAGACCAAAGTGTCTCATAGCTATTCAAAAACTCAGCATCTATCTACGAATTTGCCATTTTGTGGGTTGTGGGCATGTCAAGCAGAAAGTGCACAGCGACTTGGTAATACGTGAGAACGCTTTGGCAACTTGTGCCAAGCTGTACATTGCCATGCCTTCATACTAAGTTTCTGTAGGCAGTTAGCTAGGGGTATTCAGGATCCCATTTGAAGAAACAAAAGCTATCCGAAAATGAGCATTGAACGTAAGACCTGATATCTTTTTTAAAAAAGAATTGTTTTTTTGCAACATTCAAGTGGTTGAGTACACAAAAAGTCATCAATATAGTATCAAGCTAAGCATTCAAATGATGTACAGAAGCAGGGTGAAAGGATTAACTGACCTAAGGCCTCTTCTAAAAATCTTATCATTAATGTACATCACTTCGATAGGAGGAAACTATGCCATTTAGAATATTCATAATTCGTTTTTAGCATGCCTTTTCCAGTGAACGAAATCGATCATGTGACATTGCAAGCCAGACGTTGTCTGTAAGAATTTTTCTAACCAATCGTTGCCTATATTTGGTAAATTAGAGAAACAATAGTTTGATTCTGCTGTCCTTTAGCCTTCCATCAATATCTCGACTATTACTGAAAATAGTTTGAAAATGGCTTTGAAAAAAGCAAACAATTGAAACATACTAAGGCTTTTCTTCTGACACTGTTCAGAGATTCAACGTGAGAATATAGATGGAAAACTCTAAGCATGGAGATATATATTCCCAGTTGTATATCGAAATGGGCCAGTCACCAGCCAGTTATTAAGAAAAATAGTTTGCTTTGATTGAATTGTTAAAACTGGTCTGGAGTCTTGGTTTCTAAAGAGACATGATATTTTACTCTTCGTGATAATGCTATGGAATTTTTGGATTAGTTATGGGAAAAATTAAACCTAACCAGTATTTCATGGGTGGGAAAAAAAATCTTCCGTGTGCGTCTATTGGTGCGAATCAATACCAAATAAGTTTCACATGATGCCATTCATTAGTTCATGAAGGTGTTAAGAGCCTTATTACCTCGTCTGATTATTAATTAAACGTGTTTGCAAGAAGCTTCACAAAACAAAGCAATCGCACAACATCAATAATTCAATGGTTATTCAACATTAAAAAAACAAATTGACCAGTTGCAACAGGGATGCTCACAAACCCCTGCCTATGCAAGTAGGTTGTGGTAAAAACTGGGCAATAGAACACTGCCAATAACACGAATATGAAACCAACTACAGCGAACAAACACAATTTTATTCAGATTTTGAAAACAGACTGATTATTCGCAAGCAGCTAATTTGTTTGTCTTGCTAAATACAGGATTTGTGTTTGAAACAACAACAGTTTGTGTTTGTTTTTGATTTTACGCCAACAAGTTCGCAGCTTCAGCTGAAAGAAGTTGACATGTCAAAAAGATTTGCATTAAGTGATATAAAAGCAACAATTTGAAGCCTGCTGTTTCCTAAGTTTAGAACTTGACCAAATTAAAAAAAAGGCAAAAATGACTTTCTATTTGAATTGGTCTATTTCTTTAGTAATGGCCATCAACCCACGGTTAAAAGGAACTTGCAAGAACAATTTTTGTCAATACTCAAACTGCACTGTTTCTTGATACACTAATTTGATAGCATGACAGCTGGGAGTATTTCGAAATCTGAAATCACAACCACGCTGTATCGTTAACTGAAATTATGTTTATTGAAATATTCACAATGATAACGGATGCGTCTTGATTTGCTTGCGACTGAAAGTGTTTCAATTGTTGCTTTATTTCAATAGTGTGATTTACTTGATAATCAAACAGGGTTATTTGTCACGGTTGTCACGAGGTTTGTAGTGTTCCATGGCTGAAGAAGAACGAACAGGCTGGCATAGCTTTACCCCAACCATGTGAAGATAGGTTTCAGCACATCATCCAAAATCCAAATAATTAGTAAATTCGACAAGGAAGAAGAATTATGATGCGCTGATGCTGGTCTCATACGATTCTCACTCATTAACCAATGCATCAGATTAGTTGCTTTTTAAGATTTTTTATGTTTGCCTTCCGGTCATATTATGAGGAAGAAAACCTTCATAAATGACTCTATACCAAAGAACCTTGAAGCTAGGATCAGATGACACATTTCAATAAATCATCTGATCCTGTGTCACATGCCTTTAATATAATCACGTATCTTGCTAGTAGCAGGCACTGCAAAATCAAATCTCAATAACCCCTATAAATGATTTTCTGAAAATTTAAGCAACAAAGATAATTTCTCAGTACCAAATCTATTTAATAATTAAGTAACGAAAAGTGTGTGTTTCAGCTTGACTAGCAGCGAGAAACACAGTATTAAATCCATCCGCAGCGCAACAAGATGCAAAGAGAACAGTACTGTAGCTTGATAACTTCGCAAAATTTCCCTTTCGCGTTATCAGAAGATCATGTGACGCAAGTCAATGAGTGAAACCGACGCTTTAGGATTGAAGCAAGTTGAAGATTAAGGGAATTAGGAGGATGGCACTGATATTATAACAAATGGTTTAACCTAGTATGTCACGAAATCACGGAAGAGAAATGCAAGTTCCCAAACAGGCGATGCATAGCAATCTGTGTGTAGCATCAATAACTTGGTTCGGCAAAGGGATGTAGGCAGGGGTTGTTCCTCTGGGTGGTAGGGGTGGCGTGATGGGGGAACGGTTTATGAAACCGTTCTTTACTAGGCATATTCGGCATTTTTGGTGTTTACACGGCAAACTTGGTGGTGGCATAAATAAAAAATCAAAAAATGGTTTATTTGACTGTTTTCCTTTTAATTTTTATTTGATCCTCTTTGGCACAAATATTTTTCGGCACGATAATATTTTAAATGTTAATTGGCACACTGAAACCAATGAAAACCCTCAAACTTACTGAATTTGACTTTGTAATATTCCTTTTGTTTCAAGTCATTGCTTTACGTTGTAAAATAGATTCAATCTTTAGAGCTGAAGAGCCACACCTATAGTGGATATGCTCATTTATGCCATATAATAATAATGAAAAAAAAAAACAAAACAGGAGTAATGAGATTTAAGCAGGAAATTCCTTGTGTATGTAAAAGTCTCTTGTAATGTTGCAGAGCACTTGTGGCATTCAAAATCGGGATTCGACAAAATATAAAAAGTGATAATATGGCGCACTATTTGCCTCAGGTTTACATTTACACAATCTCGTAGCACTTTTGTAATACAAAAAAGAAAAGAATAGGGGCAGGGGGTCAAATATCGTTATCAGTATCACAGAGAATCGGAAAGTATATTCTTTAGGACTCTTCAACTGTTACCTTTTATCAAAATTATGGCTTACAGGACAAAAACTTCCACCTTTTGTAGGACGTGTCTGACAGAAGCAGGGCCACCGAGAGATTCCCTGTGACCGAGATGACGTCATTAAAACTGTGATTGTTTTCGCTGCTGTTATTTTCAGAAACTTTGCTATAACTTTTTAGGGCCCCTCTCAACTAGGGGCCTGGAGCTATCTGCTTCAAGAAATATGTTCTATGGAACGTGGTTGAAATTAGAAATCGGGTAAAGCCCAAACAAAGAGGCAATCGCCTTCAGTATTGGTCATCACAGATCATGGGAAAGTATAAGTGATGAATTAACAAGCTGACCCAAAGGCGCACAGAACATAATAAGGATGAGCAGATAGACCAATGTGTTTCCCAAAAGCTTAAAAAACAACTAAACACGGGTAGGTTTGTATTTGAAAAACTATTTAGAGAATAAAGGTTGAGGGTAATTATCCAGACGGATTGGGTCCCGGAGAATAAAAGATGGTACAAAAAGGATAAGGATAAAACTGTTTGTTTTCGTTTTAAAGCCTTGATAAGATTTAGCACATTGTTAACGTAAGGTGTTATTCAGGATCAGTCGCTAATTTCTCAAGCTAGCGAATACGGAAGGAAACATTAGCTTATGCGAAACAACGCATTGTACCCAATTGATAAGAACATAAAGCGAGGCGTACTGTCTATCCCAAAGCTTGTTATGGGATTCAACGCAAGAGAAATTTTTAGAGAAACAGGCTGTATATCGTTGATTTGTAGGTCTGCAGTGATGCCTATGGGGGGGGGGGGTGGTGTGGTGTTCCACAGCTGCTCTATTTGCCACTGAGCAACTAAAAACTTTGCAAAGCCATTATACAAATATAGATATAATAATTTAGATATAGAGGTATTGACCACTGATCTATAAAAAAGACTGGATCGAACATCCTATTGTTCTCTTACATCAGCACGAGAAAGTGATCTCTCGCGCCTAAAGTGGCTGCCATGGCCCATGGCGGCGCCAGCCACTACGCTCTGGGGGGAGGGGGAACAGAACAAAAAAAATTAGGTCCCGACTTTTAGCACTAGAAAACGCCTTTTTACAAACAACAAAATCCAATTTTACCTGAAAGGAACGCCCATAACTAACTGCTGGCAATGTAAAGGCAGCTTAAAAATCAAAGTATGACATCAAAAAAAGTACGTTGCCCAAATATTTTCCCTCCCCCAACATTTTCACATCGGATTTAGACGAATCCTGCCGAGAACTGGGGGGATGTGTCCCCCCATTACCCCCAGGGCAAAAATTTTTAAAGTCAGTTACGAATGCTGCAAGTTCTTGTTTCAACGGTCATTTTGAATTTTGCTATGAAAAATAAAGTTAAACTAAGACCAACATGATTGCTTTCTAGTCCCAAGCAACATGGCGAGGTCTTAAAATGGACG